TTCCAGTATTATCGGGAAAGAGATTTCATGTTAAAAACATCTCTGCCCCTGCCCTCACCCTCCAGATCTTTCACGTGCATGTATATGGACATATATATGTTTCCTTGGTGAATTATGTGCCATTATCTTTATTGCTTATACAGAACCTTCTTATTTAACATATTATCATAGAATGGTATGTATCTTCAATGGCAAAAAATTATATTTTGATTTTCCTATTCGACCTGGGCTCTTCAGAAACAAGTATACATGTCTTTACCTTTCAAGTCACAATTAACACCGACTGTATATATGTTCCACTGACCTATGTCCAACTGTATATATGTTCCACTGACCTATGTCCAACTGTATATCTGGAGTGCGTGTTTGTTTCACTGATCTGTGTGACCTGTTTGTGTTTATTCCACTGACCTATGTCCGACTGTGTGTTTGTTTCACTGATCTGTGTGACCTGTTTGTGTTTATACCACTGACCTATGTCCGACTGTGTGTTTGTTTCACTGATCTGTGTGACCTGTTTGTGTTTATTCCACTGACCTATGTCCGACTGTGTGTTTGTTTCACTGATCTGTGTCACCTGTTTGTGTTTATACCACTGACCTATGTCCGACTGCGTGTTTGTTTCACTGATCTGTGTGACCTGTTTGTGTTTATTCCACTGACCTATGTCCGACTGTGTGTTTGTTTCACTGATCTGTGTCACCTGTTTGTGTTTATACCACTGACCTATGTCCGACTGTGTGTTTGTTTCACTGATCTGTGTGACCTGTTTTGTTTATTCCACTGACCTATGTCCGACTGTGTGTTTGTTTCACTGATCTGTGTGACCTGTTTGTGTTTATTCCACTGACCTATGTCCGACTGTGTGTTTGTTTCACTGATCTGTGTCACCTGTTTGTGTTTATTCCACTGACCTATGTCCGACTGTGTGTTTGTTTCACTGATCTGTGTCACCTGTTTGTGTTTATTCCACTGACCTATGTCCGACTGTGTGTTTGTTTCACTGATCAGTTCGATCTGTTCCATTGACCAGTGTCCATTTTGTACATTGTAGGTCAGCAACACACTCGGCCATCTTTACCCCAGCAGTTTGAAGTCCACGTAGAGTGCAACTTCCTCGACCTCAACACCACCACAGAAGTTCACGAATACTACGACGACATCAACAATAGGGGTGAAGTGCGCGTCAGCGACTTCGGCGTCAAGTTGTGGGCCTACTACAGCTACGATACAAATGAACTCATTTCCATACTGCCAGACAAAAGTGAGTTCTAAGGACATGGTGTCGTGAGTGAGTGAGTGAGTGAGTGAGTGAGTGAGTGAGTGGGTTTTGGGTGGGTTGGTGGTGAGTGAGTGAGTGAGTGAGTGAGTGAGTGAGTGAGTGGCCAGCAAATTAATCTAAATCGAATTTCCTTTTCCCCAATTTAGGCCTCTGCTATGTGGAAGACCTACAAAAGAACAGTCAGAGGTACCTGTTTGGTTATCAGAGTAAGAACGGACAGGGTCACATCTTCTCCGCTAGCGGCGCCCTGCACTTCGGCGAGGCAAACACCGTGGAGGTGTTCCAGGGGTCCGACGTCGTGCGCGGCATCAATGTGCAGAAGTGGTACTCCTGTCTGTACTGGGCAGGCATGGACGCCACCATGAATGTCACGTGGTACTTCTCAGGTGAGGTTACCGTATGTCACGTGATGCCTCTGATCTGACATAGTTTGGGTGTACTGTCCAGATATACCACGTGGTACTTCTCAGATGAGGATTAGATGTCTTGCTTGATGCTTCTGATGTGACGTTCAGACATGTCATGCTGGGCTCCCAGGTGAAGTTTAGACAAATCACACTTTACTCCCAGAAAAGTTAAGACAAGTCAGAATGTACTCCCACGTGAGGTTCAGATACGTCATGCTGGGCTTCCAGGTGAGGTTTAGACAAATCACACTTTACTCCCCGAAGAGGTTAAGACAAGTCAGAATGTACTCCCACATGAGGTTCAGATATGTCATGCTGGGCTTTCAAGTGAGGTCCAGACATGTCAGACTGTACTTCCAGGTGAGGTTCAGACATGTCACACTGTACTGCCAGGTGAGGTTAAGACATGTCACACTGTACTTCCAGGTAAGGTTCAGACATGTCACACTGTACTCTTAGGTGAGGTTCAGAGATGTCACACTGTACTGCCAGGTGAGGTTCAGACATGTCACACTGTACTGCCAGGTGAGGTTCAGACATGTCACACTGTACTTCCAGGTAAGGTTCAGACATGTCACACTGTACTCCAAGGTGAGGTTCAGACATGTCATACTGTACTCCCAGGTGAGGTTCAGACATGTCACACTGTACTCCCAGGTGAGGTTCAGACATGTCACACTGTACTCCCAGGTGAGGTTCAGACATGTCACACTGTACTCCCAGGTGAGGTTCAGACATGTTACACTGTACTCCCAGGTGAGGTTCAGACATGTCACACTGTACTCCCAGGTGAGGTTCAGACATGTCACAC